AAAAAAATTAAATAAATATAAATAAACAAATTAGTACAAAATAATAAGAAATAATAAATAAATTAAAAAGGTGATTAAAAAAGTAAAAAATACTAAGAAATAAAATGAGAAAATAATTATAAAAAAATAAAAAAGTAAACGACAAGATAAATAAAAATAAAAAAAAGTAAAATAAAAGTGCTAATAAAAGGGGGAAAAAAACTTTTTTCCCCCTACCTTGGTACATATACCTTGTTCTTGCAGTCTTCTCTTCCTTAGCAGCGGGGGAGGGGTAGCGATTTGCATATGAATGAGTCGCGATATTTACATATGAATGGGCCGCGGCTTATCGATATGCAAATTACCGCGGCCCATTTATATGTTAATATCTCGGCCGGTACCGGGACAGTGCAGGCTGCAGGAACAGCACCAGCAAGCTCCGGAAAGAGCACAGAGTAGAGAGGGCTGGGGGGAGGAGGTGTTTTTCTGGCCTCCCCCACCAGCGCCCTCTAGTGTCTACTGTGTGGTAGTGCCGGCTCTGCTCGCTACCACACAGTAGACACTGCTCTGCACAGAGCCGGCCATCGGGCATAGCGGACCGGCCGAACACAATCAGGTTGATTGTGTTCGGCCCGGCCCACCGGACAAGTGCCCGGTTTGCCCGATGGCCAGTCCGGCCCTGGGCCTTAGAGTGCCAGGCAGGATCCAGGTAAACATGCCCCAGCTGGACAGCTATCGTACCTTCCACCTGAATTATTAATGATAAAGCTCCAGCCACAGAAACTTTCATGTCAATATATTTCTCCTTTGTTACCAAATGCCTGTGCAAACCCAGAGATTACCTTGTAAAAGTAGCAGTGACATTGTCTGTGCACAGAGCAGAATACTACAGGAAGGGGGCGGAGACTAGACCAGTCATCCTGCACAAGGAGAGAGCAGCAGTGACCAGTCTTTATTACAGGAAGGGGCGGAGACTAGACCAGTCATCCTGTACAAGGAGAGAGCAGCAGTGAGCGGCCTTTATCACAGGAGGGGGCGGAGCCTAGACCAGTCACCCTGCACATGGAAAGAGCCGCAGTGAGCGGTCTTTATCACTGGAGGGGGCGGAGCCTAGACCAGTCACCCTGCACATGGAGAGAGCCGCAGTGAGCGGTCTTTATGATGGGAGGGGGCGCAGACAAGACCAGTCACCCTGCACAAGGAGAGAGCAGCAGTGACCGGTCTTTATTACAGGAGGGGGCGGAGACTAGACCAGTCACCCTGCACAAGGAGTGAGCAGCAGTGACCAGTCTTTATTACAGGAGGGGGCGGAGACTAGACCAGTCACCCTGCACAAGGAGTGAGCAGCAGTGACCAGTCTTTATTACAGGAGGGGGCGGAGACTAGACCAGTCACCCTGCACAAGGAGTGAGCAGCAGTGACCAGTCTTTATTACAGGAGGGGGCGGAGACTAGACCAGTCACCCTGCACAAGGAGTGAGCAGCAGTGACCAGTCTTTATTACAGGAGGGGGCGGAGACTAGACCAGTCACCCTGCACAAGGAGTGAGCAGCAGTGACCAGTCTTTATTACAGGAGGGGGCGGAGACTAGACCAGTCACCCTGCACAAGGAGTGAGCAGCAGTGACCAGTCTTTATTACAGGAGGGGGCGGAGACTAGACCAGTCACCCTGCACAAGGAGTGAGCAGCAGTGACCAGTCTTTATTACAGGAGGGGGCGGAGACTAGACCAGTCACCCTGAACATGGAGAGAGCAGCAGTGACCAGTCTTTATCACAGGAGGGGGCGGAGCCTAGACCAGTCACCCTGCACATGGAGAGAGCCGCAGTGAGCGGTCTTTATGATCGGAGGGGGCGGAGACAAGACCAGTCATCCTGCACAAGGAGAGAGCTGCAGTGAGCGGCCTTTATGATGGGAGGGGGCGGAGACTAGACCAGTCACCCTGCACATGGAGAGAGCCGCAGTGAGCGGTCTTTATGATGGGAGGGGGCGGAGACTAGACCAGTCCTCTTGCACATGGATGAGCGGTCTTATGGCGGCACAGATCTGGGAGGAACACACAGGACGCGTCTTCTACAAATTACTTTATTGGAGAAATGATTCACATTTGAAGATTTCAGAGACTTTTGGAAGATCAGAATCGCGGGGTCAGGCCGCTGGAGGCGTCAGCCCGGAAAAGGGCGGAGCCAATCATCGCAGATTATTCATCTTCTATTCCGAGAGATTTTTATTTATAATTTAAAAATATTTTTCTGAAATAAAATCATATTCAGAAGTGT